TCGTCGTCGTAAAGCCATTGTGAGATGAATCGTTTTCCTCGTCTTTCTTGCACACCACACACCAGACATCAGAAAAAGCTTCAGTTCAAGGCATGCTCCAACTTTTTTTCGGGTCGAAACCTCTCATCTCCGAGGTTCTGCACACTTTGGCATGACTTGATCAGGCATGCTTTGCTCGAGAGCAGCACCAGCGAGGGACATAGCACTACCAGATAAGGGCGGCGTGGCCGTTTCTGAGCCCCTCCTGGAAAACTGCCAACACAGGGCTGGAGTGCTTGCAGGGCGGCTTTTCACCCCCTGCAGGGGGGCGGGGGGGGGGAGGTTGTCTTGGAACAGGACATGTTGTGGGAGCAGCTCGGGAAGCGACAGCTGACGCGAAGGCCCTGCTCGGGCTTGGCCCGCAGACCGCAACGAAGCTGAAGCTGACATCCAACTTCCTGAACCTCAGAACGAAGCCTGGCTACCTCGCTTCAGCTCGCTTCAGCTTCGCCAGGTTGGCTCCAATTTTGCCAGGGCAGTTCTGACGACTTCAGAGCTGCCACAGTTGGTCTGCTCGAAGTTCATCAGCGCTGGCTTATTTTGAGGCGTCCTAGCATCTGTGCAGCTATGCCGTCGACTGTTTGCTTGCGAGGCTTCGTATGTGGAGATCGAACTTTCAGGTAGAGTCAGGCAACAGGTAGAGGCGTACTTACATAAGCTGATATCACAATCACCCAATGAGGAGCAAAATTTCGTGCGAAGATCACTGGGGTGGCTGGCCGCCAGCCGGCTCGGGCAGCACGTGCATCAGCATGCCGAACCTGAGTCTTGCAAGTGATGGCATGGGGTGATTTTTGGCACATGCAGGGCAGAGATACTTGGACGAGCTGCTTGTAGTCACCGCGGCCATAGTCAATCATGCCGCTGAATCCGAAGCCGCTGATGTCCGACACACTGCAGCTGACTTTTCCTTTAGGGACAACGACACACGGAAGCCTAGAGAGATTCAAACCCGTGCAGTGGAGACATGGAAACAAGACATTAAAAAAACAAGTCTTGCAAACCAGCAGCCGTCCGTGTCCACCAAGCCCTGGATCCGGGCATTCCTTGGACAACAGAAGGCTTCCTGGAATTGGTCTGCACACCCACTCTGGCCTGAAGAGGTACTCGTAAGCCATCGTCAGGCCGGACTCCTGCAGCGGAGACCAAAACCGGCTCAAGCTTTTCGATGCCTTTCGGCTGCAGCCTCCCCAGGACCCGCCAAACTTCAATCCCCGTCACCCGGAGGCCCCAAAAACATTTTTTTCGGGTCCTTGTCTGGATAAGACAACTTGTACTCTGTACCGAGGCTAAGCCTCTCGGTGACTTTGCGTACCTCGGCCAAATCACAAGGCCAGGAGGCCAGGCGGCCAGGTTTGCGCGCAGTCCGCCCGTAAGATGCGCACATACTGCATTTTCAGCTCATGCATGATGTTGGCTGATCCTTAGCAAAGGGCAAGGAGCTGACACATGGCCAAACTTGGCTGGAAAGCATGGACCACTCTGGCCTCCCAGTGCTCGTGTCAAAATAGCGCTGAAGACATGCTTCCCCTCGGTGAACCGCATTCCGACCTTCCAGGCGCGCTTGACGCTGTGGATTGCTGACTTCTGCTGCCCGCTCCCGCATGCTCCCGCTACGCCTGGCCAACAGAGGTCACGCTGTTGACGGCAACCTTCTCCGATTGCAAGAGGAACAATGAAACTCAGCTTTCACCAAATCTCGCGATCGCTCAGCGCACTGCCACGGTCAGGTCACCTCCGAGCTGTAGCTGCGGCATGATCTTCTGCACGTAGGAGCCTGCCGCTGGCTCTGCGTTGTCTCGGCTCCCAAGGCGCATCAAAGACCTGAGAGCGCGCCTCCTGCGAGCCAATAGCCCTGCCATGCGACCTTGCCGCCGAAGGCCCGCTCGGGCCCGGAGTACTCAAGGGCACCCTCCTTGGCACACACAAGAAAAAAACCATGAGGGACCAAGTGGCCTTAACGGCCTTCAGAGCACCTCAGATTTCACACCTGAGCGCCAGTGTTCATATGATTTATGCTCAAAGACTTTGTCATGCTCCTCGGACGGCGACGGCTTCCACGTCGATCTTTGCTGACACTGAGCTCGCAGCATACATGTTGCGCTGCGGGTCCTGGAGGTATTAGTGATTTAGGCAGCGATTCCCATGGGCAGACGCCGGACTCCAAGCAAATGTCTGGGAGGGCCAGGGCGCACCTTCAAGTCTGAGCCGGAGGATCCCTTCAGCTCCCAGGAGCTGCCCAACTGCCAAAGGATTGAAAGACATGTGCTTTCAGCTGCAAACCACCATACTTCCGATATTCCGTCATGAAGGAGGAAGGGTCACACCAGATGGAGGCAGTAGTGCTTAAGGCTTACGGGTCGCGCAATCCACAGTCTCACAGGTCACGTGTCACGGGTGGTGTCTCAGGCGCAATATATACCTGTTACACAACATTTACTTACATCCAAGCATCACTGCACCCTGCGCGGTTGGACCTTCTGGATTAGTCGACCTGTCACACCGCCGTCAAGTCCTTAGCACAGCCAGAAAAGCCGTAAGCAGACAGTTGGCGCATGCCGGCCTTCATCTGTGCTTGGGTCAGATGACCTAGTCATTCGTATCCTTCTGCCGCTGAATACCCAAACACGAATCTGCCCCAGCGCTTTCAATGTTGAATCTGCAACGATCAACGATGTCAGCAGAGTTCTTGCACGGGAGCCTGGACTTACTAGCCGAAGCCTAACCGAGACTTGCTCAACACACGGGGTCACAGGGGTCAATTCCTATGGCACCTGCATGGGCGCCATCGTCGCACATTGCTTACACTGAACTGCGGCTCAAGCCACCCGTCCTTGCCACCAGCATGGTTCGTCCATCCTGCAAACACCCCAGGCTCGGCTCTTAAGCAACATGCCGCATCTTCATTGTCCTCGCGTACAACCGCCAGGTCTCGTGCAGGCTGTGACTTACCACACAAAAATCTGCTTCGGTTTGCAACTTGGTAGAGTTGATCGTAAACTGTACGAGTACTACAGTATCTCGCCAGAAAGGTCGTATACCAGGATCCACGTCAGACAACCATCGTAAACGTGACTCACGCATGTTGTCTTGCAAAACCGTCCGGTGACTGGAAGGCGGGGCCGAACTGGTACAGGTAGCCACACCTTGAGTCGAGAGCACAACTTGCTGCGCCCTCTACACTCCACAGTGCCAAGCAAGAAGCACCACGGAGAATATTGTGCAAGACGTTTCGCTGAGCTGTGCGCTCCCGCAAGCGGGTCCCTAAGAAAAGCGAGTGAGTGGCCTTCTGCAGAAAGTCTTTGCAAAGACTGAGCACAGGATTGGAACGAGGACGCGCCTGTAGGTTGTCGGTTACCTTCTTCTGGGCCTCGATGCGGAAGCCGTCCCAGTTGTCCTGGTCGAAGGCTGGAGCTCGTTTGGTGGTCGACTCGTATGCCAGTGACCTGCATCGAGATGTTCTGATACTCCCGATGGATCATCTCGAATTGCACCGCAGGCTCCTGTGACGGGATCCCGGGGCCATGCAGCATCAAACCGAGGCTACGAGGGAAGCTTCAGGGCCCCCAGCGAGGACAGTTCAGCGCCACTTCGGCATCCCCCCGGCCACTGTCGCCCTCGCGCAATTTCCGCCCTGACCGCAACCCCCTGGCAATACCCGACACCAAGGAGGTGTTCTGTGTTTAAGATCGGACTTCTGCGCTCGCGCTCTCGCGCTAGAGCCGCTAGGTGGGAGAATGAAAGCGAAGGGACGCAGCGAAGAGGTCCGGACTCCAGCAGTGATCGCGCGAAGCTACCAGATACAGGGGCTTTCAATCCAAGTCATCGCAGGTGAGGCTTCGTCTATCACAGGAGGACACTCAAAAGGCTTGAGCGGCTTGATCCCATGGTCATCCGCCTCCGGACTCGGCGCTGGAGGTTCTGCAGGCTTGGTCTCCACTGGACTGGCAGGTCAAGAGAGTGTAGCGAAACCACCCATGGCGCATGCAAGATGCTGCAAAAAGCTTAAAGCCACGAGCGAAGTGTGTTGCTTGTGCCTGGAGGGTGGCGCAGCCTCCCGGGCGGCAACAGCGTGCAGTCAACATGCGGATCAAAAACTATTTGGTTCAGTGTTTGTTGCCACTGGCCACGAGCCTACCAGTACATAAGCAAGATGTGCCATGATCCATGATCCTACGATATCCTACGGCCCTACGGCATCTGCGGCACCGCCTCCTCAGCTCGGACAACTCGAGACCGCATTGGGAAGAAGGAACCTTGATGGAACTGAAATGCGCCAAACGTGCCCAACCGCAAATGCGGCGACGCTCTGAAGGCAAGCTGCCAAAAACGCGCCCCCACCGTGTAGCTCGAGCATCCGAGCGCCTGCACTACAATGAAACAGAAGCCTGTTTCAGCATGTACCACCGGCGTGGACAGAAACGGTTAAACGGATGCGGTTCACGCAGCCGTGCCTAGTCTCCATGGCTTGCAAATCAGCCACAGGAAGTAGTCTCACTCTGACCTTCCTTGAAGCCAAAACGTCGGTTCCCTTGGTCTGGCAGTCTCTGATCAATAAGCGCAAACGGCCTGTCAGGAAAGATCAAGCATGCATGGAATGCCCGAGTTGGCCAATACAAGTGCTCTCCGTCATTTTAGTGGATGGCTGCACAGAATGCTGAGCGCCAAGACCTCGCTACAAGACAAGCCACCGATGAGCGAGGGTGTTTAAGGACCCATGCGACACTGAAAGTTCTTTTGAACGTGAGCTTAGAGGGTTTGTCGACCGGCTGGCTCGTGCAATGAGGAACTCAAGCTTCTGGGGGCAAACAGTGGCATTCCGGCCACGTCGTATAGCGTCAAGCACGCTTGGAAAGCATGCTTCATGCAGCCACTCTAAGTTGCACTTCCCTGACCCTGCTACCCTCTGCCGGGAGTGAGACACAGCCATCGCGGCCAGCTCACTCGGCCAGGCGCCAGACCTACCACCTCGGGTGCTACTATTAACTGCGCAAATCAGAGATGTCAGAATACGCCTAGGCCTAGCCGAGATGCTTCCCCTTCTTTCCCTTGCCCTTGCCCTTGGGCCCAGGGATCGCCGGCACCGCTGCCACAGCCACCGCCGCCGGGGCCTCAGCGAGTGTCTCTGATCTTCTCGGGCACTTTCCGCTGGAGAGCTTGGACCAGTGCACATGTTATCAGAAGTTGAATCAGAACTGACGCTTCAATATCCTTGGCCGAAACACCACTGGAGCTGGTGCAGGGTTGTGCAGGACAAACCTCGGTGCCAAGGCAGCCATGAAAGCAAGGACAGGTCGACCCATGACCTTCCGGCACAACCTGCTTCATGCCAGGAGGCTTTAGCCGGGCTGTCTCATCACCCGCATCAATTCTGCGTTGCCGCTCCTTTCGGCTCTCCTGGAACAACTGGCAGGGTACCTCACTGAGGAAACTTCCGCATGGCTGGCCTCTGTCAGCTTCACCAGCGCGTCCATCGACTCAAGATCGTCGTCCAGGATCGTGGAGAACATTTTCGTGTCCTAGCTTTGAGGGTCTGTAGAATCCAAGTTTGTAAGTTCAGACCGCTGCAGAGCGAAGTTGTCTTCGCAATGCCGTCCTCGCTGATGGCCACGGTGTCCTGAAAGGGCATGGCTGCAAACAGTTGGGGACGGGGGGACATTGCTCTGGCCACCACCTTGGCCAGCTTGACAAGGTCTGCAATCTCGGTGACGCCAAACTGCTTCAAGTTCATCTGCTTCTTGAAGTATTTGCCTGTCAGCGAACAGACAAACTGGCCTCAGTCTAAGATGCCCTAACCTGTGGAGCTGTCACTGAGCCTTGGAACGATGCCCGAATTCGGGCCGATAACTGCATTGGATCCAAAAACCTTTCGTCCTATGCATTGCAGACAAGGTGCTGTAGTAAAAGCTCAAGTGAGCTTCAGGGATTGCAACGCGATCAGGATCATTGACGTCCTTAGCGCTCTCACGCACATCTCTGATGAAACGTTCCTTGCCCTAAACCCTAAACCCTACGTGCAATCAAGAAGCCTTCTTGAAGGAATCTTGAAGCAGGAAAAGCTCGTAACGAAGCTGCAGCAGGGCCCAGTCCTGGATGCAGAGCTCATGCAGATGTTCATACATAGGAAGGTATACGACATAGATTGATAGATAGATTGATTGATTGACTAGATCGATAGATCGATTGATCGATCGATAGATAGATATACAGACACATAGATGCATCCCATCCATCCGTCCGTCTAGACCTACAGAGGCAGATGTAAACAGATCTAGGTGTGTAGAAAAACAGAGACATACAAAAATCGAGAGAGATGTCCATGCGCGTGTCATGCATGCATGCATGGATGGATGGATGGATTTCTGGATGGATATGTGTACACATGCATGCGCACAGCCATAAAATATATGTGTGTAGCATACAATATGTACACATTATAGTGGCTGTGTGCAGACGTAGCGTATGCGTGCATGGTTCGGCAGGCGTATACTGCTTGTCCAGCTATGCCTATGTCTGCAGGCATGATCATGTCTGGTTCAAACTCTGGCTCGTGCCTACGGAATATGTACGGTGTGCTTGCCTTTTCTCTCAATGCATGTGGGTGCATATTTGAATATGTGTATATATGTATGCACACACGTCCATATGTATGTCTGTGCGTAGACACGTGTAAAACTGCTAAGTCTATACATATGCATGATGTATGTGACTGTATGTGTACACACATGCATTATACACACGCGCACACGAAATACGAGCTACCTTTCTATCTGTGAGTCTCTCTGTGTGCATATGCATTCAAACCAACATGCTGAAGCGAAGTTGATCTTTTGAGCAAGGCTTGTCAGTGCAAACACGAGTGTCTACGTGGTAGCTGGTCTCGCTCGGGTCGGGCTCGGCTCCGTGAACTGAATGCCCCGATGGGCGGGTTCGAAGGCACACTAAGAAAAGCTCAGTGCTTCATGTCCTTTGAGCTACGTCGTAGATGGGCAGCAGCAGAATGCTGGAATAAGTAGTACATATGTCACGGATTTAACCGATACCTGTAAACCTCAGCTGAGCGAGACTACGATGCTACAGCCTCCAAACATCAACATGCCATTGCGTTCGGCCCCCAAGAAATGACAACGGCTACCGTGCTAGATCCTCGGCTTCGAAGCTGCTATACCTGGGATGCACTTGAAACTGGGATGCACTGCGACACGGGAATGCAACTGCGCATGCAAACTCAAGGCATTTTCCCGGTAGATACAGATCTGAACAGAATGGCACGCGACAGTGCCACTGCCCCCCGGAGTGACGGAGTGTTTGGGCAAGTTGCAGGGGCTCGCCGCCACCGATGTCGTTGATGTCCTGGGTTGGAAATGCGGAAATCGCCAAGGCAAATATACTGCCAAGTGTGTTTTTCACGGTCCTCGACAGCGTCGCCTGACGCACCATCCTGCCAGTTTCGAATGTTCCTTCGTACTCGGGGTTACCGCCCGATCTAATTCAGGCAGTGGTTCACGTGGCTGTCAGCTCCAAGCTGTTCAGCATGACCTACTCTTGGCGCACCTTGCTCTTCTTGGAGCCTGCAGCTCTCCAGGCCTGGCACATGAGACGTGAGATGACGTGAGGTCTTATCTGCGACGGAGAACCGCTCCGCTTGCGACTCAGAAGATCTGTTGCAGCTGCTGGCTGCGATTCTTTGAAACCGTCGGTCAACCTATTCAGAGCTGAGCACGGGAGCTTCTAACGATGGTGCCTGGCCTTCTGCTTTCCCTGGAGATCCTCGCAGGTTTTGAAAGGCAATCGATTTCGCCTTTCCCCACTGCATCGCTCAATCCCGTCGGTCCGAATAGCTCTTCTGCCACGCCGCATACTTGTCCCTGAAGTCCTGGGATGGCTGCAGGTCCTGCGCAGAAAAATTGACTCCGCCGAAGCAGAACAAATAGCACAGCACGTGTTGAAGCAACCCAATCAACCATGGATATCTCGTGCCAGCGAGCTCGGGTAAAAAAACGAAACTGCATAGAGCGTGTGACCTCGATGCGTGTCGTGAGCTTCGTCTCAAGCACCCACTTGCGCAAGTACTCTTTACCTCACGAATTGCTCTGCGACAGAAAACCCTGCGACTGTGTGTGTGTGTGTGTGTGCGTGGGTGTGTGTGTGTGTGTGCGGGCGTGCGTGCGTGCGTGCGTGCGTGCGTGCGTGCGTGCGTGCGTGCGTGCGTGCGTGCGTGCGTGCGTGCGTGCGTGCGTGTGTGTGTGCGTGCGTGCGTGGGTGCGTGGGTGCGTGGGTG